ATTTAGATACTGATCAGCTGTCTGTCTTTCAACATCACTCCAACTATAGCGTTTCACCCCAGCAGTGAATTTACTGCTGATGCGCGATAATGCTTAGATAACACAAATCATTGTCTTTCTGTTTTGTTACTTATTACATGACGCCAGACTTCCTGATATGCTACCCTACAGATCCAATTGTGCATAGATTGTGGACAAGATGTACATTTATTGAGGTAGTTGGATGATCCCAGCGGTCATCCTACCAACCTAATACGTTTCCACTCCAGATGTTTTGGGAAAGAACGTTAGGCCTGTAGAAAATTCACTGCATTTATACCTTGAAGTTGACCGAGGTTTTCCGAAATTACGTGGACTGGACTTTATCCGTAAAATGCGCAGCTGCATCTTCGAGTAAATAAAACCTCCTAATATATGAGAATTCACCGTCATATACTTTTACGATATTCGAATCGATAGACAGGAGTTTCTGTTCTTACCTACCATAATTTGCACATATTCGCTCAACCTTTCCATTTGGGAAGTCGTTCAAGTTTATTTGTTAATGCAACAGTAATTACCTGTGGGATGCGAACAAGAGCCCCCATGCGAGCATCTTTTCAAAGTAAGTTGGCATTTACGCCAAACCCTCTAAAATTTTGAGAACGCTACGGTGTGTCAATAAAATTCCCTCCAACGTTTTCAGGCAAGTCATATGGACTCAGACGTCCTCTTTTCCCATTTATTGTATTCACAGTATCCGAGAAACCGCACCTTTGTTCTTCATATTAACTTGACCGCTGTCGGACAGCTATATGAGGCGTAGCTCTGAAAAACGTTCTAAGCTTTTCAACCAAGTAGACAACTGCAAGAACACAGTAAAATATGTACCCAGTAATCGAAGTAATCCTTTCTTGTTAACGCGCCCTAGGATAACGAGAACATTTGATAAATTCGATCCACTGGTATCGGATATTTAAGTATTTGAAAGATCTAAGAAGCGGTGGTCAATCGACGATACACGGAAGTTTTTTGCGATTTTACTGACGTGCTAGCACTTAGAAACGTAGCTACTCTAATGGTCTTAGCTTTCATAACCAAGTAGTGCTTTGGTATTTAGAAACATGTATTAGGCTACGAATAATATAAAGCAAACCATTTTTACAGGTTCTCAAGTCTGACCGAGGCGGTTGGATAGAATAACCCATACCGTAGATTAAAATGACCATCATCTTTTTAAATTAACCTAAATGTGTATCCTGTAGCACAGTAGACTATGGACATACTTGAGAACGCATGTTGACGGCTGATTGAATGCGAAACGGATTATTTGTATCATCATGTATGAGTAGATTTTACGTAGCACTTATTAATAAAGCGGAGCCTGGGTTTTACGATTCGTAGCTTCTCATTCTGAAAGGCAACTTCGGTGTTACTTTGTTTACTGCATTAGACAAAATAGAAGGACCGTTCTCCCTTTAAAATAAGCGGTAGTTCAAACGAAATTATGTTACTTACTCTAAAAATAAGTTATAAAGTTTAAGATAGCTAACACTTATTTTCGATCATCACTTGCCACACTGCAGAAATCTGTTGACATGCTTCTGAACCTGACTCAGAAACCACATGAACACTATGACGCTCATGTGAAGGTAGTAATACAAAACCACGCCTAATACGTTGGTTTGAAAAGAATTAAATTTACTAATGTCAGTGTTGATATTGAAACGGTCATGAAAGAATTCAGTGACCCTCCAAGATTATTAGGTTTATTGCACGCACTAAACCAGGCTGACTATAAGTTTCTGGAGGTCAATTAGTCAGTCAGTTACAAAGTAGAACTTCGTACATCAGTACATAAGTTCAGATTGCCATACCCTATCAGCACAGACGCGTCTGTCAGTTCGAATACCATAATGGTAGCGACAGTAGAAGTATTAGCAGTAATGAAGACGATTAGGGTTCGACGATTTGACTCGGGAAGTACAATTCAGTAAAGATAACTTTAGAGAAAAAAAGATAGATACCATGAGTAATTCAGAAGATTAAAATTTAATAGAAAACAATGAATGAATGCACCTATGCCATTGCAAACGACTCTGAGCCATATCGTTCAACGTCTCTAACCATTGATGAAATACGTCTCGTGGACCGCAACCAGGTAGCCTACATCTACCAACACGACTCAGTCTACTTCATGCATTTCTGCCATGTTTTGGTTTGGCCACTCCTAGCTTTCTTCCAACCTACTCCTACACTGCAAAACAGCTCGTCGCGGCAGTCGGTAGTTAGGCATACGTAACACATGTCCCAACCATCTCAACTGATGAAGTTTCACTACTTCATCTATTCCATTCCTACCCAGTACCCGTTTCCTAACACCAGCATGACAAACTCCGTTGTCCCAGGTTGTACGAGCGACGCTTCGGAGACAAGATCAAAAAAAAGCAACCTATCAATATACTCTACTCTGACTGGCCATGTTTTACAACCATAAAGTAGGACTGAGCGAAGTACTGAGCAGTACACACGAAATTTAGTCAGCAAACGGATATCTCGCTTACACCTAAGTGACGCTAGTTTCCAAAGGCCAATCGAGCTTTCTATATCGGCGCTGAGACTTCGTCAGTCATCAGCACTGATGAGACTAACAAGGTAAGTGAAGCGGTCTACACGCTCGACTACTTCACTTCAGGTGTCGACGCAACCCGATCTTGAAGCAACATTTTGCATTTCAATGGAGAGAATCACATCCCGAACATGCTCGCATTGCTGCTTAGGTGGTCAGAAGACAGCGTCTTCACCGAATAGGACTATGTCACCATCATGCTCAAGTCAGCAAGTGACTCCTAGTAGAAGATCCACTCCTGAAAAGTCAGACGAAGATAAAGGTATAAATAGAATCATGTCTATGGAAAAATTAAACAAGAATAGGGAAAGTGGACATCCCTGACGGACACCATTTGAAGTAAAGGATTCCTCTGACAGTTCGCCATAAGCTCTCACTCGACCTGTAGTGTTCGAGTAAAGAGCTTTTAAAAGTTAATGTGCTTCTTTCGTACTCCTTTCAGTAACACACTGCCACAGAACCTCATGATGCAAGGAGTCAAATTCAGGTTTAAGGTCCAAGAAAACTATTATTGGACGCCTAAACGTGTATCTGTGTTCCGAAACCTGTCGTACTATGAACAGCTGATCCATACGGTCACGTCCAGGCTGGTTTTCTCTAGTCTGCTCTTCATGTGTTTTAGTTAGGCGTCCAAGTATGACAGAGGTTAGCAATTTTAAAACTATATTAGTTAGACGTATTCCCGTGAGATTGTCACAAGAGGGCTTTCGTCGTTTCTGGTAGACTGGGACAATCAGTGATCGAGACCAGTCGAATTGCATTACGCCTAGTTACCAGATTCTACCTAAGATCTCAGTCAATCTAGCTGCTAAAGCTGGACCACCATCCTTAAAAATCTCAGGAGTTAGCCTATCAGGACCTGCTGCTCTACCTCGCTTTAGATTTCCTATAGCTTTCTCAACTTCATAAAGACTAGGAGGACTTATATCGATTTGCCATTCAGGATGACTGGAGACCGTAGGTAACCGAAGTGTGGCTGAAGGCCAATTGAACTGATCCCTGATGTGTTCTGCCCATCGATCCAATCTACTGGATTTAGAAGAAATACTAGTCCCATCCTTTTCCAAGATGGTCTCACTCACATTAGGGTTCCTAATACCAGTTTCCTTGGTCAGTCGGAAAAGTTGTCTACTGTTGCCTATCACCGCTGCCTTTTCCATCGCTTTCGCCACCCACAGCTTTTCACGGTCGTTGCGTAGGCTTTTTATCAGCATGCGCTTAAGCTTACTTCGCTTTTCATTATGTCCAGAGCCAGGTGGGATGAGTTTTCGAGCATCCATCAGTTCGGTGGATGCTACTGAGATCCACGGCTTCATCCTAACCTTATGGTTTACCTTGCTAGCAGATATCGCTGCTGTTTACACAGCCTTTTTGATAGCATTCCAACCTGCCTCCGGATGGAAATCACTTACATGGTTGTCTAAATCTCTTTCTAGTTGTTCCTGGAATATATTAATTGAAGCCCTAAGAGGCTTTCTTACGGTGTCTTTCCTGCGTCCAGTAAGCCTCAAACAAATACGCGCCCACTTTAGAGCATGATCTGCGTCTAAACAATTGCTCCAAAATAAGCGGCAGTCTTTAGAAGAGCCTTTCCACCGAGGACTTAAAGCGATGTGATCTAATTAGGTCCATCGTTCTGAAGACTCATGAGGTCGCCAGGTCAGAAAGTGTTTTTCCTCATGCTTAAATTTAGTATTTGCTAGCAATAGGCGGTTATCTGAGCATACTTGCAACAGACGGTCACCGTCATCTGTTCTATTAGCCGCGGCACCAAAAAATCCATCCAGGTATCTTTTTTTCGCAGAGTCTACCTATTTGAGCGTTGAAGTCACCAGCCTTTACTACCATGAGACGTCATGATTCTTCTAAATGAAGACCTAACTCCCAGAGTAGAGTTTAAATGGTTTGGATTTTTTCTAGTTAGCGTTTTTCGGCAAGTAATTTTTTTGGGAATGAGGCCGTCAACTGACATCTCAACCCTCCTTTAGCCAGGCTTGGGACCGGCAGTAGCCCCGAAGGGTCTACAGGCGGAGTGCTGATGGGTTATGTCAACCTGAACTTATGTGCTCATGTACGAAGTTCCACATTATAACTGACTGATTAATTGACTTCCGGAAACTCATAATCAGCCTGGTTTGTAATTGACTGATTTGTGAGGTGAGTTGGTGTTGCTTCAACCAATATTCTTCGAAGTGATATGGGATACTACACACGACATTTGTCTGTCCATTACAAACTTTTGCATGACGGCGTAAAGATCGTGCAACTCGCTGCCTTGGGACGTTAAGTATGGCTTAGAACAAAAGCTAATCTCGATCTTGCCGTGGTTGTTTCCATCTTCTTCATCAAAACAAGATATAGTCTGAGAAATGGAAGAAACCTTTTGACTGTGTTTTTAATAAAACTACTACTCTTATTGACTAATTTACTTTATGACGATTGCGCTTTTTCACGCTCATATCATTATAACGTACTCTAGTATTAAAAAATATACATTCGTTTATATTCAACACTGGAAATCCCACGGAAGCTTTGCTAACAAAACAAATATACCATAGTTTACGGCGTAGAAAATACGAAAACGCATAGATAAATAATGATAATTATACAGTTTAGAAACGAAGCCAGCATTTTACTGAGTGAACAAATGAATCATTGGTCTGATGCTGAAAAATTAAAAAAAATGAACAAGTACGATAAAAATTAGGAGAAACTTAATGTGATCAATAAGATGTATTAGTAAATTATCTTCAATATGTACACACATGCAATAATATTCATTTTAGTTACTACTGTCAATGTTGTCATCGGATTTGACGTTGTGTGATAGTCTTTTTGTGAATAATTCAGCTTATTTTTAGCAGTGTTTTTCATCAAAGTAATGACTGATAGTTGTATTGAAGTATTTTTTGTACTTTTTAGGTGGTACTTTCGACTATTATTTGGGTTAATTCTTTTTCAAGTAGGGATATATTTCATGACCCAAAACTGTAAGGTTATGTTTTTCCTTCTTATCGATAAAATTATCATTAATTACTGTACTGGAATTTGCATAAGAATTGTTATGGTCAACGAAACAAAGTAAGTCAGTCAGCAACAACGTAGAACTAGGTACGTAAGTATTTGAGAGAATTTGAGAGATCACAAAGAGTGGATGCACCTGCGCCATTGCAAACGATTAAGGTCTCTAACCATCGGTTAGTATCGTCTCGTGGATCGAAACCAGGTAGTCTACGCCCACCAACATGACTCAAAAACAGTCCGGTTTTCTCGAGTCTGCTCTTCACGAGCTCTAGTTAGGCGTCGGAGTGTTAATGAGACCAATATTTTAGATACTATATTCGTTAAACTGATTCCTCTGTGATTGTCACAAGACGACTTCGGTGCTTTCCTATAGACTGGCACAATCAGTGATTAGGGCCAGTCAGATGGGATTACGCCCACTTCCCAGATTCTACCTAAGATCCCAGTCCATCTAACTTAATATGACTAACCAAGCTATAACACTGATAATTATCAGCATCTAATTTGTGTGTGTAATTTAACAACACATCGGCTCATCTTTCCAGATTAACATTACCGTTTTCTACTAACACTATAAATGATAAGACTTAGCAAAACCGAAAATTTGAGCATGAACGCTGCAAACAACCAAAAGTATAGCTTTGTACTTACCAACTGCCATTGTGCATCAAATCAAAAGCTTTATTGATATCTTTTAATTCAAGATGATGAGTGATAAACTCGTCAACTTTGATCGTTCCGGATAAATAGTCTTTAACTAATTTGGGCACCGAGTCACGTGACTTCCAACCTTATACGGATTTCAAAGAGAGAAATAAATGTGTTCATTATCAATCAAATACATATATAGATTATTACTGAGATTCGCTGCGGTAAACATTTTTATTATATTTAGAACTTAGCATCACAATTGCTACATCAGCTACATAAAAGCTGTAATGCTTAGTATTAGATTCATCATGCGTGCTTGATTTTTAAAAGTATTATTGAAGAATAAGAACAATCTAGTAAACAAAACTAATTTCAGTTACCTAAGCTGTACAGTCGTAATAATAATAATAATCCACTTCCACTGCTTCTTCCTGATTTACTCCTCCGCAGCAGTCTGGTTTATTCTCTCCCATAGTAGGTTGTTGCCGATGATGTCTGACCAACGAATCCGAAGTGTTTTGCGTAGACAACTGTTAATGAATACTTTTATCTTCTGGATGATGACTTTCATAGTTCTCCAAGTTTCCTCTCCATACAGTAGAACTGTCTTGACGTTTGTATTGAAAATCCTGATTTTGGTGTTGATTGATATTTGTTTGGAGTTCCAGTTGTTGTTCAGTTGTAGAACTGCAGCCTTTGCTTTGCCGATCCGCGCCCTCATATCTGCATCGGATCCACGTTGGTTGCCCAGATAAGTAAAGGCTTTCAACACCTCTAAGGTGTGTCTATCAAGAGTGATTTGGTTAGCTTGTCCTAAGGAATTCGATTCTTCTGTCCAAGTTATCATTCACACAACTTTTGACCTAGTAAATTAATCACTTGAAATCTTGTTTGATTTTACTGGAATACATGTGTTGATTGCTTACTAGGCTTATCACTTGTCTAGCCTATATCATCTGACTACAAATACTTTGTCATGTTTCATTACATTGAGTTAGTTCACTCTCCTTCCACACTTCACTTCTCTTTGTTTCGTCGCTTTTTGATTCTCATATCTGCCTGGTTGAACAATAGCATGCAATAAACTCATCAAACTGAATCTGCATTTCACTTTTATCGAAGGGAATATTTATTTCATAACATATGAGAGTCAGCATGAGGGCAACTAGAAGTTATTTACTAAAGTGTTTGCTGAAAAATTGGACGTTCAGTTATTTAATTTTCAAATGTATTCTATTTAATAAGTCTAGTCTTACTACTATTAATTTTTATGGACTAACAAAGTGTTCTACGGAATGGTAAACTTGATCGACGTCACTCTGCTTTTATATAAACTACTGTTTTCAGCAAAGAAATCCACTAAAACTAAGATTGTAAAGCTTAAGTACATGAGCTAAACGGTCTCGATCCATCTTCATAGAAATATAATCGTCCTGATATACAGTAACATATTATCATGTTAATAAGTAGTCGAAGATCAACTGGATATATAATTCAACGCAATCAGTCAGTCGGTTAAAACGTAGAGCTTCGTGCGTACACACATAAGTTCAGGCTGCCATACCACATCAGCACAGAGATGTAATTGCCATAGTAGTAGAAGTATTAGCAGTAATCGGAAAGATCATAGCCCGAAAATATTATTCATTTTGCAGCGTAGTCTTATTTGTGGTTACAAAAGTTAGGAATATGGCATCAAATCGCTGATTCAATAAACCCGATGTTTATATTGTGAAACCCTCATATATGAATCAATCCACCATTTGTCTGTTCAGAAACATGTGACACGTGAGTTAAAATATTAGCGTACAGTGGCGTCTATGGTTTCACTGCAAATTTCAGAGCATCATCGCTAGAAACCATAGAACGTTTCCAGATTTCAGAAGCTTTGTGTTTCAGTATGTAACAGAAATCTTGAGCAACGAGAAAGCTTGGACTGTCACTCGATGCTCAGACTTAAGTATCATAATCAAACAATAATATATTAGTTTAGGATTTGATATTCTTCAGGAAGTAACGAACAATTTATAAATCTCTAGCTTATATACATTTCTTTGCGATTACTACTGTCAATGTTGTCATCAGATACACCGGATTGATCAGTCAGTAACTCATTGTTGATTTGACGTTGGGTGATAATCTTCTTGTGAATAATTAATCTCAGAGGCTCAAGATTTATATTCACTTTATATTCAGATACAGTAGTCAAGAAGTCGCTGCGGCATCCCTTCAATAGGCTAACTAAATAATTCGGGTAACAAATCAGACGACAAGAGCAACTAGAATGGATATCGACACAGCGAAACACACATTCCATGGATTTTTAGAGTGTAGTGACTGAAATAACACTGAACCCATAAGTTTGAAGGCCTAAATAACTTAATCAACAGTAATCAAATGCCTAATATCAAACAAATAGGTATCAAACCACTGCATGAGAATTACGACAGAAGAAACATCGAATAGTACGTGCGTGACAATTAAAAGAGTCTAAACTATGTGTGACGAAACGCATGTGGCTAAACAAATCGCTTTGTTTTTTATCCTTTGCTTCATCAGAGCGTACCGTTTGCTGTCAAAGCAAAATTTCTCCCATATTAATGTCAACATTTCGAAACCCATTTCTTTCCTTGACCATTTTGTTGATTTTAAGCGAGGCAGCGTACGCAGAGACAACGAAGAAGCAATGGCAAGTTCCCCTATCCTTACAAGTCCTTAATGTCTGTTTAGTCGAATAGCGTATAAGCGACTGTCTACCGGGATCGATTCTAAGATAGCTAGTTCTGTCCTAGGACTCAATGCAATACCCTAACCAGGGAAACCAAGGGAAGCAGCATCACGACTTCCAGATACACAGAGCGTAAACCAAGTTGGTTCTTCATCTGGAGAAATGTTAGGACACTGAGCAATTCGAAACTGTTTACGGATTTAGGAACGAACTTTATATGACATGGATGTGGAAAAGCTGTTCAGTAGTTGTATTATTCAGCTACGTTTGTATCTGTCGCATTAAGTCGGTTTGCCAAAAGAAAATATGTGGTTTGCAAGACCTTTCAAGTCAATGATCATACTCAACTAGCCAGTTACGAAAACTATCGACGGTTTCATTTCCGCACAGATTTTACAAACGAACAAACATGATTGCTAAATGGATTGTTAACAAATACTACTTCCGTGTTTTTTGACAACTAAAAAATATTCAGTCTATACCAATTTGTATTCGTTCTTAACTGCTGACGCAGAAATGTCGATTGGAGGTCGGACAATAATTGTGCGATTAGATTTTCAACTTCAATTTGGCTAGTAGGAAAGCAGGACCCTTTCAATCGTATCTATCTAAATACTGACAGATCTAAGAAACTTCTATATCAGGAAGATTAGTGAAATAATAACTTCTAGGATGAATTGACTTTTATGTATGACCCTATCATATGATTATTTTGCAACTAATTATATATATATATATATATATATATATATGTTCAGGGCCACTTTTGGCTTGCTGATGTTTAAATGTATTTTCTTATTCTATGATGTGATGTGGTCTGGTACATTTGCTATGTAGACTACGTCTGCTTGAAATATAACGAGCTTTTTAGAGGCTTGCTAAGAACCTCGGGAATAAGAGATAGGGTAGAAACAAAGACGCTATCAACTTGTGATCCAATAAGGAATTATAGTTGATTCAAGGTTTCTGGTGCTAGCACATAATTCTAATTGGTGTTTGGTATTAGTCACGCTATACCTAGTCAACAGCTCAGGATAAACCACCTTTCTGATCATTCACTTTGAAATCTAAATGTTCATAAGATTCCAGTCTTATACACATAAGCTTTACTAACAGATCAATAAGGCATAGTTTTGAATGAACTTTACCTATCATACTGTAACCTATGGATTATAGGAAACTTCGGGTCATCATTTATCATCAAGATAATTATAAGCTAGTAGCTAATGATGCTGCACAAAAAGCAATATCATCAAAGTAGTTTGGGTTGGTTGATATCAAATACAGAAGCTCCCAGGAAGATCCGTAGGTTTTAATCAAACTAAGGACTCAATAAAAAAAACCACTCGCTAGTGTCTGTCTAATTAACAAAGCTTATATATGGAGGAAGTGATGATAATAGTTTGATAAGAGGTTTTACTTACTTAATTTTCAGGTATTTCTACCGCACTGAAATTCTAAGCATGAAATGAAGCATTTTTAACAAAATTTTTACTGATTTAATCTTTTAGAATTGCTTCAATTTACTTTAGTACTGAGGCTAAAGGCATTATAAGAGCAGTTTTCTAGGAACGATAAGTGAATAAACATTAGACTACAAGTTGATAACTTACCACGCACTGACTTCAGAGTATTTATTGTTGGAATGACATATATTCTCACTTTAGTAAAATAAGTGGATAAATTGACTTAAACAACGAGACTAAGTCAGAAATCAGCACGGCCTACGCATATTACTTGTTACAGGTTTAAATTCCTGGTAAATATACTAGATTCAGAGTAACGAAATGAATGAAGCGGAGTATTTACTAATAAATTAGTTTAGGAAAAGCTTGTACGTTAAGTGGTAAAGAAATACGATCTACATAAAAGTTCCGAATCGAAATACAACGTAATAAAATATCAACGCGAAAGTTCCTTTCCATGTAGGAGTATGTGCATAACACGTACAGAACTAGTTTTTTCCAGATAGTTTCAAAGGTTATACATGGTGATCTCAGACATCACAAAATGCTGATAAGTACAACTAACCTCCAAAAGCACAACCTTTCCAAGTGCGGCCAGTTACAAGTTGGAATGGTCGAGTTGAAATTTCTGCACCAGACTCTGCCACACCAATTACAACCGAAACACCCCAGCCCTTGTGACATGATTCTAAAGCTTGACGCATTGTAGCTACATTCCCAACACATTCAAAAGTATAATCACATCCTCCATCAGTTATTTCCACAATAATCTGTGATTTGAAGAGAAAACAGGAATTGAATAAATGATCATATTTTAAACAAGCAATCTGAATAATAGACTGAGTTCATATTCTAACAAACACAGATTTTAAACCTATGACCTGATGTTTTTAGTAATGCAGATTAAAGGTGGTATGGTTAGTCTGAGATATTTCACCGATGATCATCAACAGGAACGAATTTGCTCATTATTACGACGTACGGAAGCTTTGCAGCACTGGCTAGGGACTAAAAACCTTATAACTGGTGGTGCAATATTTGATGTCAACAGAAGCTGTCAAACTACTAATAACCCATCAGTGATGAAAGGTTGTCAGTCATTCAGTAAGCAACAATGTAGGACTTCGCAAGTACGTACATCAGTTCAACTCGAAATATCACATTGGCACATAGATGCAACTATAAATGAAATCACGCAGTAACATAGATGGTTGAAGTATTAGCAGTATTCGCAAAGATCACAGTCCGAAGATGTTATTCAAGAAGAATAATTCTGTGAAATAAATTTAAACAGAGGAAGATAGAGGTGATGTGGATTTCAAAAGATGAGAATTTGAGAGACCTCAAATAATGGGTGCACCTGCGCCATAGCAAACGTTTTTCAGCCATGTCACTCAAGATCTCTAACCATCCACTAGTTTCATATCGCGGACCACAAACCGCTAGTTTACACCTGTCAACATGACACAACTCACTTGTCAGTGACCGCATGGATTTGTGCCATACTTTCGTTTGGTCACACCTAGCTTTCTTCCTACCTAATCTTACACCACAAAACATCGCTCGTCGAGGCAGTCGGTGGTTAGACATACACAACACAAGTCGCAACCACATCAACTGATTGAGTTTCAGTACTTTATCATTAGTTTAACATCCTAAACTAGTACTCGTTTCTTAAAAATAACATCACTAACTCGATGTTCCTGGGATATACAAGCCATTTTTTGGAAAATGACAAAAACCAGTAACGTACGATATCTTCCAATATGACTGGCCATGTTTCGCAGCCATATAGTAGGACGGAGCGAAATGCTGCGTAGTACACTCACCCATTGGTTAGGAAACGGATACTTTGCCTACGCCATAAGTGATGCGAGTTGATAAAAGCCTATCGAGCCTTCTGTATCCGTACTGAGATTTCTTCACACACAAGGCCATCAGCACCTGCGATTATCTGAGCGTAGTTACAGCAGACGGTCACTATTAACTGTTCTTTGTACCACGATCCGCCGTCTTATTTTCAGATTCGTTTAGTCTACTGACTTGAACGATTAAGTCACCTGTCAAGTTTACTGTATCAGAGCACCTAATTTTTGAAGGAGGTTGGAAAAGTTTCCGCAGTCAGTGGGAGCGTAGGCAGATACGATGAAAAGACAACGAAGAGTGTCCCTAACTTTCCGAATCCTTACTGTCCCGTTTAGTCAGAAAGCGCACAGGCACAGTATAAGAGACCTGGTTCTGCTCTAGGACTCGGTGCTATACCAACACCAGCTAGACCACGAGGAGCAGCATTTGGGCTTTCAGATGCACAGAGTAAACCAAGTTGGTTCTTCATCTGGACAAGGTAAAGTCAAATTAATGAATCTACTCGGATCTTGTATGCGCGTTTCGGAGACGCACCATACATTAATCGCACGAGATTCTAATGTCCTAGCTAAGGAAGCCTGTTGTCCAATTCGATACAAGGTTCGCACATTAAAATCTCCAACATGTAGTTTAGAACAGGATTTCAGGAGACTGAGAATAAGGTTTCATGAAGTCGAAACGTTCGCATCAGCGGCGCGACAAAGGAACGGAAGAAGGGTTGATCGTGGAGATAAGAGAGTTATTAAGAGCTGCAGAAAGGATTTGATTATGACTTATTTGGTCTCGCGTGCTGTTATAGGTATGAGGGCGGTTGTCACCTCCCGGTTGCCCACACCGTGGAACGCTGATTCTTGAGGAACGTGAAAAGGAAAGTAGATTAGTGTTGGGCTTAACGACTTGGGAGCGTGACCACAGATTCCAAGAGACAACTGCTTGAGGCCGATCACACACGGCCTTTACATGAAAGGTCTTTTGAGCATTAGCTCCACTATTGTTTAAAAGCCCTTACCACCCGTGACGGAAATCTATGGGGTAAGGTGAGGTGTGACATTCTTAGGATCGACCTTTTCTAACTTCATCCTTTCTTGTAAGAAGGTAGCATTACTACAGATGCTGGTTTTCCGAGGGAAACACCTCACTGCTGTCACATTGTTCTACAACCAGTAGTGTGACTTCACCCTCAGACCTTACATTGCTGTTTTTAATCTCAGCGGTCTCCAATCGACATGCCTGGCATGGTAGGATCTAAAGGAACGTGTTATTCAGCCAACATAACTCAGTTGGGTCATCACATTAGGGAAGCCCGTCCACCACGTCAAGATAGGAACTATGGTCGGGGCTCGTGATAACCATGGAAGAATTAATTGGACTACTATGTCTTAAATATTACCCTTGAAAATTATGTAACGTTTATCTGGAGCTTACGATGAACAAACTAAACTGGCATCAGAATCAATGACGGGCTAACCAAATAAATACCCACCATCCGTCAGGCTTTGAAACAAGCAATTGCTGATGACGTACAATATTACCACTTTTGACTTAAGGATAAGATTAAACTTTGCAGATAGCTTGGCCTTGTGGTTGAACTCACGATCAATATTTACTGAAAAATCATATAATCGGCGTGAAGGGTAGCCACTCCATTATCGGCCGGGTTAGAGTTTATGATGAAGTCATCAGCATCGTCAACTACAAGTGATGTCCGTCAAGACTGCTCGCTATCTTGCGTCTCTGATTTAATTTCGTCATAGGTGCTCTTCTAGGAAACTCACTACCTCAACCTTACTTTTTAGAGATTGCTTGCGTACCAGTAGTAAGTAGATGACAGACCTATTTGATCAAGATGCTTACATAACAGTTTTCTGATCACCTCGATCATGTTTGGAATGCATTTATCTTCTTTTAAATTAAAAATATTGGCTTTCAACTGGTATTCGCCATCATCTAGATTGGTCATAAGCAGTAAGGCAGCTGAGTGAGTCAATCGCTTTATTTATCTTGGAAGTCTCACCAATCTTGGTGAGCTGATACGTAACGAAATCTTAGAAATTCAAAAAACTTAGTTTTGACCGAATTGTATCACTTGAAGAACAGCCGATACGTCTGTTTCGCAATCGTTATGCATTAACCTGGACAAATTATACTGTAAAACGAATTCCATAGTGGAAATAAGTTGACTGTAAGAATCAAAGCCTCATTTGTTGAGAATGAGTACTAGTAAAATAAGTGCCGTGAAACAATCACGTTTTTACCAGTGTACGTGATACACTGAAAACTAGATATAATACTTGGTAATTATTAGTTATAGAGCTTGTTTGATATACATGAAGTGTTGGAATAACTTATCCAAAAATATCTAAAGCACGATATGGATGATGTTAGTGATTAGAATAGCTTTTCATGGCTAGCGGGAAATATTGGACGGTAACAAAACACAGTATACATTTGACCACTACGTCTCAGAAAACATACGGTAAGATGTAAGAAGAAACCTGACGAACCTGTTGTATTGGCTTGCAATGCTTCGCAGGATTTATGCACTCAGTAGCTCCAAAAGATACAGCCAAATCAAACTTGTTTTCATTATTATCTATTCCAATAATTCTTTTAGCACCGGCTATTTTACATCCCATTATGACTGCCAATCCAACTGCTCCAAGACCCCAAATAGCACATATGCTATCTTTCTCAACTTCTGAATAATAAAGTCATAGTTGTAAAAGCATTTTACTAGCAGTATTAAACACAGCTCCATAACCCGTGCTTATGCCACAACCCAAAAGACCAACTTTATTTAGTGGGGCATTTTTGTCAATCTTTGCTAAGCTGATTTCGGGCAACACAGTATACTCACTAAAAGTACTACAGCCCATAAAGTGATGTACTTTTTGACCGCGGCATTTGAAACGAACAGATCCATCGGGCATTAGGCCTTTTCCTTGAGTTTCTCTAAGAAGAAATGAGTTCACTGAAATCTTTACCTTATCTTTGAACACAGATTCGTTTTCTTGGATAGACAAAATTTACACTCGTTACACTGTGGAATGTATAATGGAATGACGTGATCCCCTGGAACAACAGACAATACATTTTCTCCGACGCTTTCCACAACACCTGCGCCTTCATGTCCAAGAATGACAGGAAAAACTCCCTCCGGGTCATGACCACCCAAAGTATATGCATCTGTATGACAAACTCCAGTAGAATGAATCTTGACCCTCACTTCGCCACTTAAAGGAGGAGAAACTTCAACTTCTTCAATCACTAGTGGTTTACTTGGTTCCCAAGCAACAGCAGCTTTACAGATAATAGGCTATAACGCCATTACATTGAAAAAAAATCTACCTTGTTGACATAACGAGTATCCATCATTAATCAGTCAAAATAGTTGAAGGAAAGTGCCTACAATAAAAGCATATGAACAAATTAAAATATAACAGATAAACGGAACAGGAACAACTAATTGGATGAAATAATCAAACTGCTAACTGAAATAAACTATAAGATTGTCAGTTTATGACACAAGAAGTATCATGAATATATGACACGGAAGTCTTACATATAGTTTGTCAAGCTAGTTTAGGCCATTTTATATAAAAGTTCAAAACTGATAAGTCATATACAGTTGGTTCAAGTGAAGTGATACAAAAATACATCAAGACGGTAGGTATACTTGTCTGGTTATTTACATAATTTCGGTGGCTCTTGATAGACGGAAATTGATATCGATGAATATATAAAGTTTTATCACCTTAGGGGTATGAGACTTAGAATCTCGAAACCGCGCCTGGGTTTCTTGCCAAATTCTCTCAAGAATACATATTTTTGAATAACTGAGTTTTTTTTGGCAATTTCGAGAAAAAAATTGCTGTTGAACTTTAGTTATCCCAGGTTTGGGCAAATTTGATGTTAGAAAAGCAACTGCGGTAGTCCAGGTCTATCCAGAAGGTATCTTCTGTACTATGGGAGAGGACGCAGAGCAGAGTGAGGAAAGAACTGTAGCAGAGTAGAACATTAGGAGAGATGAGTCTCAAACCCAGCAAGTGTCCAAAATTGATTACGTTCAGAAAGGACAGTAATAAAAAAAAATTATTAATCACAAGGTCTTTAGATCCAAAGGATCTGGAGGGTAAAGCTAAGAGCGGTTGGCTTGAGAAGCTTGAACAGTTATGGAGGTAAAAAGCCGACTTATTAGCGCCGTACATTGACGAAGGTTGAGGAGCACTAAAATATCAGTCATACAGAAAGACGGATACAACGCAGAACTTCGTATGTAAGCACACTTCAGGTTGCCATACCACATCAGCACAGAGACGCAACCGTCAGTTCAAATCCAAGAGTGATAGCGATAATAGAAGTATTAGCAGTAATGGAGAAAACTATAGTTCGAAGATATGATTCGATCCCTACCTAGAACTCGTTTTCTAACAACAGCATCGCTTATACGTTTGTCCCATGATACACGAGCAATGCTTCGGAGACATCGATGATCGAAGAATAGTAACCTATGTAGGTCCTCTACTCTTAACGGCTATGTTACGCATCCGTACAGTAAGACGGAGCGATATGCAGCACTGCACACTCGACATTTCGTTGGCAAGCGGATATCTCACTTGCGCCATAGGTGACGCAGGTTGGTAACAATGTCAAACTGTTTTAAAGCGATTAGTGCGTTAGATACACAATCCATGGGCTTTTAGAAAAGTGGTTATATCAATACAGCTGCAACTTCGGTTTTAGTTGTGGCACGCTGTCGGACATTCTCTATCTTACAAGTAAGGAAAGCGACGACACCTAAAACCGTACCGAAAGCTCAAGAATCGAGCGCGAAGGAATCAATAGGTTTATACTAGCTCGTGTAAAAGATATTGGATAGTGGTGCATAATATCCAATATCTTTTACACGATCTAGTATAGACCAATCGATTTCTTGTTCTTTCGGTAAGGTTTCAGGTGTTTGGTAGTGTCCAATGGATGGTGGTCTAGCCACTCGACTGCACTAATTCTAGTCAGTTGGCAGTTGCTTGTGAGTTTGTATGTCCCGTGATTCAGATGAGAACGTTTGTTTTAGGAAAGTAGGGTTTCTGGATACCGACAGCTATCACTTTATCAGGCCGGAGGTCAGTTAGTTGCAATGTGGAGAATAATAAGGAGAAAAGTCTAATGCTAATAAAAAGAAGATTTCAGAACTAAGTAAATAAATAGATAATTTAGTTTATGAATCGATAGTGAAGATTGTGTCACAAGGCCGAAGTGTAAGCAAGGGAGAGGAAACAGAGATAAATTGCATGGTAAATTCAGTCAGTGATCGGAGGAGATGGCAATAATAACTAGCAAGTCTCAAGACATACATCAAGCACTGCTGGTCGATGAGAGAGATGATAATCCGTATGTGAGTATGTGTTTATCAAGTCTCTTCTTGAAGCTGTTCGTTGAGGGGACTGTGTTCACCTCGGCTGGGAGAGCATTCCAAGTTGCAACGACTCTTAATGAGAAGAAGTGTGCACGAACCTAACTCCGCCAGTAGAACCTTAGGGGCTACTGCCAGTCCCAAGCCCGGATAAAGGAGGAGGGTTGGACATGGGGTTGGCGACCCCATTCCGTCGAAAACTAACTTGCCAAAAAAACGCTAACCAGAAAAAATAATTCAAACCTTTTTAACTCTGCCCTGGGAGTTGGAAGAAGAATTATGACGTCTCGTGATGAAAGCCGAGTTCCCTCGGAAGTCACGGGGCCGATGCCTCTTCTGACAACCAGAGCAACCATTTTTTTAGGTACATGGAACGTTCGTACATTGTGGGAGACTGGAGGACTATTTCAAGTTGCGGCAGAAATGAAACGATACAACCTCGAGGTGCTTGGAATCAGTGAAACGCATTGGACACAGGTAGGACAACTGAGACTTGCTTCAGGGGAACTGCTGATATACTCTGGTCATGAAGAGGAAAACGCTTCACATACACAAGGAGTTGCACTGATGCTGTCCAAACATGCACAAAAGGCACTGATAGGATGGGAATCTCATGGACCCAGGATCATTAAAACATCCTTCAAAACAAAGAAACAGGACATTACAATGAACGTCATCCAATGTTATGCACCTACCAATGACTACAATGACGACGTTAAAGATCAATTCTACGAAAGGCTGCAGTCAATCGTCGATAAATGTTCACCAAAGGATTTGACGATTCTTAAGGGAGACCTGAATGCCAAGGTTGGCATGGACAACACTGGATATGAAGACATCATGGGACGACATGGACTGGGAGAAAGGAACGAAAATGGTGAGAGAATTGCAAACCTATGTGCCTTCAACAAACTGGTCGTCGGTGGCACAAAATTCCCGCACAAACGCATTCACAAA